TTCATTTTCTTTCCAATTTTCAGCACTGGATATATTATCCAAAAATGACATTTCAGAATGTCTTATGAGCCAACACACAGTGAAGCCATAAATACATTTTGTTATGCAAAGAGAATACTAAATGTGATTGAGGATTAGGGGTGGGGGAGGGGTACAAAAACACAAGGCAAAGTCATCCTTTTATACAGACTAAATAAATCAGACTAAAAATGGAAAGCTTTTTCCTTCTTGTAATTCATAATTCTGTCTGGCACTCTGCCCCTCCCTTTCAACATCATTTTGTCAGGATAGACGTAAACTGTGCCAAAAGCCTGGCTGTCCGGAGCTGTTTCAATAACCCCTTCTAGATTGACGTGGTGCACACCAAAAGGGTCCTTACAGTAGCCGCCATCGTGAGTGTGACCGGCGAAGAAACACACCACACACTCATGAGACCAAATGACGGTGAGGGCGTCTCTGTAATTCCAGGCAAGGCACACAGTGTCAGAGGCCTTTGGGTAAATGGGAAGATGGCCTGTTAGTTAAAGAGAAGAAGAGTTATGAACCAATTAGGAAATGTCTCTTTCACCAAAATCCATGGCTAAAAACTAGTACTCAGAAAGAAAAAACAAATGTGTATCGCTACCTCATTATGGACCGAGACCAGCGAGAACCCACATACGTGAAGAACTAGGTCATCTACAACCATGTCTCTGGAGCATAAAGAAGGGTGAGGCAGTTCACGTACCAGGGGAGACAGGCCATAGCAGAGGCAGAAACTCTGAGATCTCTATGGCCTACAGTCTCAAGATGTACAAACATCACGGGAGACCGAGGGTTTCCTGTGCAGGGTGGTCTGCAAAGGCAGCTGGACGTCAGGCAGACGCTGTGCTGGAATCCAGTGTCACCGACATCCTTAAGTACATGGGTGTTATAGACACACACAGAGGTACTCTTAAACAAAAGAAGAGCTTAGGGATGGGCCAGTGAATTGTATATCATTTTTATAAGCACTCAATGTTTTATACAGAACTGATTTATGCCACTTTAAACACCTCCAGAGGATCAAGGCAGCCACAGCCATGTGACAGATGGGAACTGAGTTAAGGCAGGAAGCGCTCATACCAGGTCCCACAGGAGGTTTGTGGAAGCGGAGCCGGAGAATTTCAAATTCCTGATGCTGAGACACGTATGAGGCGACACTTTCAATCACTTTCCCTTTTTCTGTGTTACTGTTTAATTTTATTCTGAAATTTTATTCTAAATATTTTTATTCTGCTTAATATCTACTAGTTTGTATTATAAGTAAAAAGACGGGGACTGGGCCGGCTGAGTGGCTCAGTTGGTTAAGAGCTCGCTCAAAGGTTTGAGCTCTGAGCAACAGTGGTTCGAGTCCGGCCCGAGCTGAGCTGCTGCTGAGCTGCCAACAGGTGGCAGGATGGCTCAGCTAAAAAAGACGGGGACTGACAGAGTACACCTGCACACACACACACACACACACACACACACACACACACACACACACACACACACACAGTGTGTGTGTATATAATTTTATATCATCACCTATCTGAATAGACTATCATTTTCAGAGTTTTCGTGTTCACAATTTCCCGTAATGCAATATTGAGAAAACTGCAGTTTGTAAGTTCGACATTTGCCCAGTCACACAGCTCATAGAAATAAGAGCCAGAACGGCAATCCATCTTTGTTACCCTCAGTCCAGTCTTCTCATCCATTATGCCACATCAATTAGGTCCCTAAAACAAGGGATCTAATAATCTCAGCCCCCAAACCAAGTATACCAAATTCAGCCCTTTGTGCATGCACGCACATGCACACACCCATATCAGAGTGTATTTTAAGCACCTCCAGAGTCCTACAATCTCTGACGGTAGTATGTCTGTCAAAAATGATTCTAAATGAAAATAACATAAGTGCTCAGTGCCAAATGTGTGGTCCCTGTTTTATTGGTTTGCTTTCATCCGGATAGCAGGGGGCCTCTGTTTGGTGGCCACTGCATTAACAGGTAGGCCTCCTAAGGCTGAGATTTGGTATGGGGCTTAAACTGAGTTTCTCATTTAAATATTGTTATATAAATTGATACCGTTTGGGGAAATTCTACTTTGAAACCTGAAAGGTCAACTCACAGGCTCTAATATTTGGGAAGATGTATCTGTTATTTTACAATTCTTTCTTGATTCAACCTTAAATGTTAACCTTATATTCAGATCATTTCTCAATAAAAAAACTTTAAGCATTCATTTTACAGAGGATATCACAATATAAACAGTTAGTGTGCTTTAAAATCTAACTCCTCTCATTCTCTAAAATGCTAGTGTAAACAAAGTGTTTAAATACTTACTCACGATCACCACCTTTTCTTGGTTGGTGTCAGAGAATGTAAGGACTTCATTCAACCAGTTCAGCTGTTCTTGGCTGAATCCTCCATTAAACTGAACAAACTGAGGCTCAGAGAGTCCTAAAAAGAATTCTGTAAGTTAGACCTGTCAAATATCATATTTTTTTTTGGGGGGGGGGTGTCTTCATGAGGGCATTTGAACTGTAGCTAATATGGGGACACTTGTACTTTCCTTTAAGAACATTTGGCAGCAATTAAAATAGGAAACCACAAGAGTTTAGAGCAATATACAAATAAATCACATTGTATCTTACTCCTAGTCCTGAAACTCCTCTGCTTACTTCACTAGCTCCCTGTTACGCTAATAATAAAACACAGTTTATTGTCCACTGAGCTACTACAAAACCGACCCACACCACCCTGGCTTTTTCTGTGTTCAAGAATGTCCAAGTGTTATACTGCTTAGCACCTCTGCATTTGTTTTTCCCTTGGTCTCAAAGACTCTTCCCAGGGTTGACTCCTTCCTGTCGTTGAGGTTTCAGTTTAAATGCTTTCTTCCTTGGAGAGGCCATCTCTGACCATCTAAACTAAAATAATTCCTCTACTCCTTTACTATGTTTGTTTGTTTCTTTGTTTCTTTCTGAGTTATTTATTTATTTATTTAAATTGGGAATTGGGGGAGGGGAACAGTGCTGGGGAATTGGGGAAGAGGACCAGCCAAGTTGTTGTTCTTCAATCTTCGTTGTGGAGGGCACCAGTCGCCATCTGGCTGCTCAACGGCAGCTCGTGGCCTCTAAGCTCAAGGTGCTGTGTTACAATCTTAGCTGTAGGTGGGCGAAGCAACTATCCCATACGGGAGTCGAACCGGCAGCCTTGTTAACAGCGCAAGCTCCATCCACTGAGCCATCTGGGTGGCAGCTCAGCTCAATGTGCAGAGTTCAGTCTTAGATGCGGGTGGGCATAGCCACCATCCCATGCGGGAGTCGAACTGGCAGCCTTGTTAAGAGCACATGCTCTATCCATTGAGCCATCCGGGTGGCAGCTCAACTTAAGGTGCCGAGTTCAGTCTTACTTGCGGGCAGGCGTAGCCCACCATCGAAAAGGCAGTCTTGTTGTTAGGAGCTCATGCTCTCACCAGCTGAGCCATCCTGCCGCCTGTTGGCAGCTCAGCAGCAGCTCAGCTCGGGCACAGCGTCACTGGCCTACGTGGGAATTGAACCAGCGGCCCTGTTGCTCAGAGCTCGCACTCTTAAGCTAACTCTTAACCAACTGAGCCACTTGGCTGGCCCCACACACTTTATTTCTTGGTAGCATTTATCATTGTGGAAATAATCCTGTTTCTGTTTCATTTATTATCTGTCCTGCCCACCTACTTTTCTTGTTCCTGCCACTCTGATCCATAAAAAAAGTGATAGTGTCAGGATTGCTTACAGTTCTGAATAGCTAAGCTCTAGAAAAAGTGCATGGCCCAAAACAGGCATTCAGATATCTGTTAAATAAATCTTGGAACAACTGTAACCAATCCGTGTGCCATGAGGCTTGTGAGAAATCCTGACCCTGAACAACAGCGACAATATACTTTTACCTTAATCATCCATCTTCCTGCTGAATAAAAGGTAGCTGAAGAATTTAAAGACAATGTATTAGATTCTCAGCTCAAAGGAATAATTCACCTTGAGGACTATTCAATTCCATATTTGGATTGTGCTCCTTCAGCATCCTCAGACACTGCTGGTATTTTGGAGAAGACTGATCCACGCCCAAGACACTCAAGTCATAGGCATCGAGTAAAATGAACCGGAACTTAGGGAATGGTACAAAATGATAAGCGTAATAACTCCCTGAAGACACATTCTCAGGACGATGTACACTCTGGTCTTCTAGAAATTTTGTGTTTAGTTTAGAGTTTGTTAAATAGTCTCTGCTGAAGTTATAGAATTCATGGTTTCCCCATGTATGATGAACTGGGACTTGAAGCATCTGAAATGTGTTCATAACAAGTTCTAGTGACCGCTCTGATGCTTTATACTGCGCATTATATCCATCGATGATATCTCCAAGCTGAAGAACACAACAGGGTGGTGGGGTGCTTTCTTTATTCCAGTGTTCAATAGCACCCTGTAAGTGAAGAAGACTATGTCTGTAGTATCTCCGTCTGTTTCCTTGGTAATTATAGCCGTCTTCTAAATTAGCATATTGAATATCTGCTATAACTCCAAAGGAGAAGAGAGGTTCTGAACTCTCACTTAGGGTTCCAGGACTGGGCTTTTCATCCATAACCTCCAAACAAGTGTCTAAATAAAGCAAAAAAGACAACTAAGTTATAAACATCTCAATTTTCTAAATGGTGAAATGGGTATTAAATTTAATGGTTAATCCACTAGGTAGCTTGTTATAGAGGGGAAACTACATGGGCTTTAGAGTCTGATGGTCTTAGGTCCAAATTACCAAATTACAGTCCTTGAAATGCTTCAGTTTTCTCATCTGAGAAACAGATGATAACCTCTATTCTTTAGAAGAGTAATAATTTACAAAAGGGTATTATCCTATTAATGAGTAGGCATTCTAATTCTAGTAAAGTCAACTCTGGTATAATTTGTAATTTTTAAGAAATATACAGTTTTACACACACACACACACACACACACACACACACCTTCTTCCACAAACACCAAAAAAACTTCAGGAATTTTTTTGAGAGTCATGTATTACACTCATTCATTGTACTTTATACATTAGATTCCTGCTCTGGGCTATTTTGTGTCAGGCTGATAGGTCACCTGAACTAAGTTTCTCATATTTTATATCTGGAATAACAGAGAGAGGCAATAAAGACATGAGAGGAATAATTTTAAACAAAAAAATCTGGCACAAAAACTATGACGCTGGGGGGCGGCCAATTAGCTCAGTTGGTAAGGGCACAAGTTTTGAACAGCAGGGCTGCCGGTTCGATTCCCACATAGGCAAGTAAGCTGCGCCAGTAACCTGTGCCCTCTACAGTTAAGATTGTGAACCACGGCTTGACCTGGAGCTGTGAGTGGCCGGTGGACGGCATGAGCTGTTGTGAGCCGTGACCGGTAGCAAGCGTGAGGGGCCGGTAGCAAGCGTGAGGGGCCGGCAGCAAGCGAGAGCCGCCATGAGCGGCCGGCCGTCCAATGGCCAGCGACAGACTGCCTCAGCCAGGAAGAGCACAATGACCATAATACCAACATGCTCCAGTGAAGCGACGTCCTCCACAACTAGACTGAGAACAATGAATGGCTCGGAGGTGGAGTGTGTGTGTGTGTGTGGGGGGGGTGCAAAAAAAACCTATGATGCTGACGTGACCATTTTCATTTCTGAGAGAAGTGGTTCCTGGTTCTTCAACAGTTGGATCCTTATTTGAACCAACTTTTAAAAACCTGAATATTAACTGCCCTTCCCTACAACCAAAACAGGAAATATGCAATCTTTTTTTTCTTACACATGATCTCTTCCCAGCCTCAGTGGCCAAGAAGTAGAGGAGATTTAGACTTGAAAAAGTTATTACTTTATATTATTTACAATCTTCATTTGTAATCATTTATTATCTTGTTGAAAGAACCAAGAATACTAAAGATTAAAATAAAAACCAAAGGCCAAAATCCTAAATTATCAACTATTGTTGTTATAAAGGCTACAGTAATAAATTCTGCTGTGGATCTAAGTTTATTAAAACCTAGTTGTTTCTAAAAATTCACTTGGAATTTCTAAAATCACTTTCAAACTCCTGGTCTCCAGTCACTTGCTGGAGAACTCATCACCTAGATTCTTTTTAATCCTCTATAGATACGTGAAATCCTCACTGTCACAGCACTCCTATCAGAGGTGGAGGTGACAACTCCACAACCGGCAATAAGGACCAGACTTCAATCTGAATTGTTTCAGAATCAGGGGCTGCTTTTCATTCTACAGCTGTTGACACTACTGACATACTTTCTATCTGGTCTACCCCATTATGAGCTTCCGCTACTTTCCTTTCTTCCTTATCTAGTTAGGTATAATTATCCCTAAAACAGGTAATACAGCAGCACCAGAAAGAGATGGAGATCCTAAAAAATGGTTTGATTTTCTTATATTTTGTTTGTTTCATTTGCTCTTTTCTTCCTGCAGTCCCCATTTGAAAACTCCAATAGCTATCAAGTCAGTGCATATATATGAGGGATGGTAGATGAGATAATCTGATTTGGAAGGTGAAGAACTCAGATACAATTACAGTAAATACAAAACTCATCTAAGTTAGCTGAAAATCTCTGGTCTTATTAAATATTTGCGATTCCAAGTACAGATTAAATAGGAGAATCAAACCAGAAGATAATTTTGCAAGTATATCAGTGGAACATTATTACCAAAGCTTAAAAGAAAACTGTTTCTGGGGGTGCTTTCATCTACTGCCAAACAAGCTTGTTTATTTTTATCTTTAAACTCAGAGCCTTTAAGGGAATACATACTGTGAAACTCTTAGAGGGCATGTAAGCCCCATTGATCGTCTCTCCTGCACAGCTGCTTGTGGCTTTTTGTTTTTTTTTTGCCTACCCAGCACATAATCTGTTCTCCTAGTAACAGCACCTCATGTCTCTTTAGGCAACTACCCAATTCCTCTCTCTCCATGTGGTTTACAAGAGGCACAGACACATGACCCAGGCCTGGCCTGTTTTAAAGCCCAGCTGCCCTCTGCTCGGTTAAGCGTACGCATATAACCTAAGCAGGGCCAATGGTCAGCCCTAGGACTTTTGCTGGAACTACTAGCAAAACTATTCAAAGTATTGGGTTGTTGGGAAAGTCATGATGTATTTTTCTGTTTTTCAATGCAAAAACGCGTCATGACTTTCCCGACGACCCAATACTTGTGCTAAGCTAGTAAGACTGAAGTTGCTGGGGAAAAGTTAACTGAGAAGAAACCCAACCTTCAGGAAGCAAACCTGACTAACAGAAAGTAGACTCCTGGGAACATTAACCGAATACCTGGACCCATCTGTCCCCACTAGAACTGCTCTTGGTCATTTAGTTAAATCAGCCAATAAGTTGTCCTTTGAGCTTAACGCCAAATTGAACTGGCTTTAATTTTTTTGTCATGTGATCCCAAAAGTCCTGTCAGACACACCTTCCACTGGAACACAGTTTAGTTTAGGGAAACTCACAGATCTGCCAACTTTTTAAAGAAAGTTAAGCAACGTGGAAAGAACCCCCAATGACCACACACTTCAAAACAGTATGTATTCTGGAGTAGAAAAAGAGATCCAAAATGCTGAATACATATAGCTTTTAAAAATAAGGTTGTGGATAGGGAGCATGCAATGTCATTAAATAAGTTATTTTGAAAAACAAACTTAAATTCATACTGCGATCTGTTAAGGGAAAGATAAGAGGCAAGAGTGGAGGACGAGGCCATATTCAAGAAAAGACAATTAAGATCAGAAGTGAATAAGGCAGGGCAAAAAGAACCAAGTGGGCAGGGAACTGACTCTCCTGACTAGTTCAACGTCTTTTATTTCATGGCTCATGGAGACGCCAGGGAGCTCAGAAAGATTGGTCCTGGCGGGCAGAGAGAACAAAAACTCTAAAGACATCTCCAGAGCTTCGGGAGTTGAGGCTCGAGCTGCTGTGCACCCAAAGGTGGAGCCTGGTAAGTGATTTGAATGAATCAGTGAATAAGTTAGAGGGCCCGGCTGGCCTGGAATGAGCCGTCTAATCAGCTGCACCAGTCACTGTCCCCACAGAGGCCTCTGGCCCAGCGTCCAGGAGGTTCCTCAGCTGGGAACTGGGAAGGTCCGGGAATCTGGAGTCCGAGGTCAGACATGGTCGTGGTGAGGACTGAGACTTGAGTAACTTCTCACAGGCATCCCCTCCTTGCCCTGGGCCAGGCCCTCGCCCACCCTATTCCTCCTGGTTGAGATGGGCTCAGCCAAGAGCGTCCCAATCACTCTAGCATGGCCTCCCTCTCACAACAAGCATCTGGCACGAGTGGCAGACCCGCATTCACCTAGTGCCGGCATCCTGCTTCTCCCATCCAGGTGGAGAGCTCTCTACAGCCTAACCTACCAGCAGGGAGCGGCTGGAGGGTCCTAATCAGGCCCAGGGCTCAGATTCCAGCTCACCTACCCTTGGCATTTTGCAGACACCTATGAAGACCAGCAGTGGAGAGCCCCCAAGCTCACTGGTGAAAGAGCTGAGTAAAGTATTTGAGACCGAAGCCCCCAAATCGAACTTCCCCCTAGAGCCTGTTCTGCACCTAGAGGTACCTTCATCTGAACTGGACTTGCCTCTGGGCACCCAGCTTTCCCTTGAGGACCAGATGTCACCTTGGAGTCAGTCTGAGCTCCCCTCCAAGCAGTTTGTTTTCTGAGGAGGAAACAGGACAGCCTCAGAAACCCCTATGGCCAACCAGGGCTAAGACAAGCCCTTGAGAGACCCCAAGACGCCCTGATCTTCAGGTTCTAAGTGCGATAGACAGAAACCTCAACATACTGCAGGATGACCACTCCCCCGGGTCTCTGACACCACAGTAGGGTAAGTGACCTTCTCCCCTGAGTGAAAATGTTAGGGAACTAAAGGATAGAGCCATTCCGGGAACTGGAGGACAAGCATGGGAGCAAGGCCAGGGCCATGACAAGGAAAAGCAGCACTTAGCCGTGGTAGAGAGCTAGGCCGTGTGCGGCCCCAGCCCTGGGCTCACCAGGGGTCTAGTGGTATTCCCTTTCCTCTCACCCCTTCTTTCCCTGGGAGACTGGAAAGGCTTATTTTCTGATTCCCCCTAAACTACCAACTCTGGAACTGAGAGCTTTCTTGGGCTTTCTTTGTGTCTTATATGTTTCCTGTATATAAAAGGAAGTGTTTAAAAAAAAAAAAAGACATCTCCACCGGGGAGATTTTGAATTAGTAAGCATTCTAATGCCAAGGAACTTTTTCAAAATATCCCGTTCCACCAAATACACACAGAGTGGGTAAGTAGAGAATAACTGTTGAAGCTAGTAATGGGTACATAAGGTTTATTCTCTCTACTTTTGTGTGTGTTTTTAAATGTCTATAAAGTTTTTTAAAAAGCATTCTAAAGTTTAGAGAAAACAAAGTCTGGAAGAATTAGAAGACCTAAGGAAATAATTTGCTTTTAAAAAGAAGGGAAAATAGCAAGTTTTTGTTCTCAAAGTTTTGCCTGCACCATTTATTATATTGTAAGTTATCTAAGATTTAGTTAAGAGGTATTATGATGAGCTGCTAAAAGCTTTGAAATTGAAGACCTGGAATTGAATTGTAATTCCAGTTTTTCCTAGAGTAAAACAACCCTCACTGGTTGTAAGATTCAACTAGGTTATAATGTACAGTCATCTACTTTGTAAATCATAAATAAAGCACTATACACATGTTAAGAACATTATTCTTTAATTATGTATCTGAAAAGTTATCTGCCTAATGAACCTCAAGATACTTGAAACTACAACTTTTTATAGAACACAATAATGTAGAAAACTTTGCAAATTTTTCTCCAAAAATGCCTACAAAAAGTCATGGTGC